TTTTTTCCGCTTTTTCGTGTTCTTATTAAGCATGAATCGTGTTTAATGCTTGTATATGGTGAATGTGGTGCTCTGCTATTGATGGCATATTCAAAAGGGAGAGTGAGACTCTGGCTTTGGGAAGCAGTTCAACATGCCATCGTGTGAGGACGAAGTGCTCAGCATAGGAAAGAAACTTGACAAGATCATTGACGGTTCGAAATCGGCAAGTTTTTCAAATTTAATTATTCTTTTAATAAGGTAACCCCTTCAATTCCAGGCAGAAAACGCTGCTGACCTACTTGAAGTTCTATCTAAATTGCCTATAACTATTGACATTTTAACGGTATTTTCTAATCTTCACTTTTTTCTTTTTTTGAACAATCCTTCCTTTATGTTTCTTTTTTTACTGCTTTTCTTTTCAGAAAACGCGTATTGGCATGACCATCAATGACTTGAGGAAGAAAACTTCTGATGAGAAGCTCGCAAAGAAAGCGAAAGGTTTGATCAAGGAGTGGAAAAACTTGGTGGATAAGAGAGAAGACAAAAAAGACAAGGTGCGAGTTCTTTTCTTTTTCAAAGTACAATTTCAAAAGCGAAGCTTATTTGTAGCCGAGAAGTATAGGTTTTGCGCTATGTCTGCGTTGCTTCTAAACTTCGATAGATACAATCACCTTGTGTTTGAAGATGATGAGTATTCATTTGTTGCGGGTTTTGTGAATTGCCATATATTGTACCCTGTCGTACATGATACTTTAAGAACTTGAACAGAAAATCCAAGAGCTGCTACATGGAACTATATTGAAGTGAGATTTTCTTAGGAGTTCGTGTTTACTTTACTTCCGTCATACTTTGCATCTAATGTAGGAAGTGTAGTTAAAACATTCGAAAAATTTTTCTAATGAGCGAACAAGGAATATTTTCTCGCAGCAGAAATATTCGAACGAATGAATAGCATTCGAATTTGTGAGTAGTGGGGATTCTGAATGCTCGACTATTAAATCATCGAATTTGTGCATGACTGAAAATT